CCCCCCGGGGCTGAGGATCAAATTCCTGCTATAGCAGCTGTCATAGCTTCACAATACTGTGCTTTAACCTGTTGCACCACCAGTGAGGGCCCTGTCTCATTCTTTCTGCAGAAATCTTGTCTTCTACTTCAGAAAGAAAATGTTAGCTACCCAGCTTGACATCTCTTTTCTTTCTTCCTCTCTTCATTAAGTCTCTGCACCTGCTCTTCTCTTCCCATCTCAGGGGAAGATCATACCCTTTCTCCTGAGACTCATTCCAGCTCTGATATAGACCTCTTCTGTCCTTTCTTTATTAATCACTTCCTCCTTTATTCTGCTTAAGTCTATAAACATGCTCAACTAGTTCTCACCTTAAAAAATGTCTCAACTCTCTCTGAAGAAATTTCTCTCCTACTTGCATTACTTTACATTCATTCACCAGGAAATTTTTCCAAAGGCTACAGATTAATCTTACCTGTCTTGTTCATCAAACCACTTCTGTCACTGAAATTGCTTTCAAATGTACTATTGTTTAATTGCCAAAAGACTTCATTTTTCCTCTTTATGTATCTGACACAGTTAACTATTGTTCTTTTGTCTCTTCGAACTCTCCCCGGTTACAAATACTCATTGTATTGACAAATCTCTTCACTAAAGTTTTAGGCTAGAGATTACTTGAGTTCTAGACCCTGTATTTCCATCTTTGCTGTATTTCCACTTGAATGTTTTATGAGCCCTTCAGATACATCACTTCTTCCCCCTTCTGAATGTTATCATTTAATGGCTCTATTATCCACCCAACCTAATTTGGGGGAATCCCCTTACTGGGATATTTTGTCTCCTAACAATCAAATTCCTGTAAATTGTCACTAATTTTATCTTCTTGAAATGTCTTCTGTGTAACCTTCCTCCATGCAATGGTATAGTCATAGTCATTGCTCACTTGAACACTGAAACAGCGTCCTAATTTATCTTGGACTTTTTCAAACCCATTCCTTCACATAGCTTCCAGATTTTTCCAAAAATTCTTATTTTTGTTTTGTATTAACTTCTGAACATAAGACTAAGCTCTTCAGCCTGACATCACAGGTTTCCCAGTATGGCTCTGCTGACTTTTAGTCCAGCTCTTAACTATGCTCCCACCATTCTCTAGATGGACTGAATTCACAGTCTCCCACTAGGCCAGGCCTATTCCTTTGTTCCTCTGCTGGCAGTGGCTTCCTTTCTGTCTTATAAACCATCTTCATTTTTTAGGATTCAGTTCAAGAGACCCTTAAGTTTTTTTTAACATTTTCTTCCTCTACCATCCCTCATATGAATCCTGGAGCACCCTATAGAGATTTTTATTATTGTATTAATTAGCTGATATGTCTGTTTCTCTCACTAGTTTCTGAGCTCAAGAAGAGGGAATATTTGATTCTTTGTATCTTGGTATGACCTGGCAGAGGACACCCAAATATCCAAATATTTTGTCTTTGTTTTGGTGTGGAGGTCTGGTGAGGCAGTTGCAAACAAAGCCACCCTGTAGGAATTTAGCCAGTCCCTGAAATGTTCCATTGATATAAAAGATATCTTGTGTGTGGACATGCATATTTCACAGTCTTAAGACATACTAGGGAAATGGCTAAGCTAGCAGAAGTATTGCTAAAGGGCTTTTAGCAGTACTTGGGTGGCTATAATCTCAACCCCTGGGTTTCCTACCCTCTGTATGGGAATGATTTAGGCCTGTGTCCTTGTCCCTACCCCTCCCACCCCTCCCAGGCAGGAACCATTGAAGAGAAGATCTTTCAGCGTCAGAGCCACAAGAAGGCACTAAGCAGCTGTGTGGTGGATGAGGAACAGGATGTGGAGCGGCACTTCTCTCTGGGAGAACTGAAGGAGCTGTTTACCCTGGATGAGGCCAGCCTCAGTGACACACATGATAGGTGGGTGCAGTCCCTTGCTGGCATTACTTTGAACTCCCTGCACAGCATGAAGACGAGGTGTGTAGTGATCACAGCTTTGTCCTCTGCCCCAGGTTGCACTGCCGTCGCTGTATCAACAACCGCCAGGTTTGGCCCCCCCCAGATGGTTCTGACTGCACCTCAGACCTGGCTCAGTGGAACCATAGCACTGATAAACAGGGGCTCAAGGATGAGGTACTCAAGGCTGCCTGGAATGCTGCCTCTACTGCCATCACCTTCGTCTTCCACCAGCGTTCCCATGAGGATCAGCGGGACGTCCACTGATAACCAGCTGAGCTGGGTGTAGCTGTTAGAGGAAGGGACAGGGAAAGTGGGTCTCTGCCCCCATAAGGTCTTTGGTAAATTTTGTTCTCTGGGAGAAAAATCAAAGAGGGCTATGTGATGTTGGCCCAAAATTTATTTTATAAGAAAAACTTTTTTGGTTAAAAAAAAGAAAGGAATAAAGGCATGAAAGGGACCGAGGCCTGGGAGCAGCATGGTGAGCCCAGCAGAAAAGAGACCTGGTAGTGGGCGCTTCTACACTCTTTAAAGCCTGGGTATCTGCTTGAGGAAGGAAAGCAGGAACCTTTCCTGTGGTGGGGGCTGTCTCCAGTGACAGATGGCCACTGCAGCCTCCTGGCCTAGGGTTCCCACAGCACTGGGTAAAAGGGCCCAAAGGCTTTAAACCCAGTGTGGGAATGAATTCCTTTGCTGGGTTCCATCAAAGCCTCCAGGACCTCAGTGCAAGGGCAGAAGGAAAAAAGAGAAAAAAAGGGTGACAGAAAGAGAAAGAATTGGTTTGGGAGTTCTGGGCAGCCCATGCCTCAGCCCTTGCAAGCTGATGGTACTGAGCATGGGCCTCTGAGGCATGGGCTCCATCACATGGTGCTGACATAATCTGCGAAGGCCTGGGATGAGTCCCACGAGTCGCTAACCACGTGGCACGTGGCTCGGAGTCGCCGGATGGCTTCCCTGGCTGTGACTGCATCCTGGTCCAGCCAGTTCTGGAACAGGCGCAGGTGACCAAACGCTCCACGGCCCCAGCGCTCCAGCCGCTTGGCAAATTCCAGAAGCCCGTCTGGCTTGATGCAGTTGGAACTAGTAGGGGTGAGATGGATTATATATTCAGGAAGCAGTTAATCCCTGGTTTATATCCCTGCAGCTCCCTCCCTGGCCCCCCACCCTCCTACATGTACCTGATGTCCAGCTGACACAGAGAGGAGGATGAATCCTCTGAGAAAACATCTGCCAGGGCCAGCAGGCCAGCATTCCCTGGAGAGGAGGGGAAAAATGCCTGTCACCCCCTCAAGTACAGGAACAAAGATATCAGAACCAATTCTGGTTGGGGAGAAGACCAGCCTCCTGAAGCCCCAGAACACTATACTCAAAACCCTTTGTTCCAGTGAAGGGGTTTATGCCGTCACTCACTTTTTCTAGGTCAAAGGACTAGTTTCTTCCCCCCTCCCTCCCCAGAGTCCTGCCCCTACCCAGGCGGTTCCCTGGCAGCCGAAGGCCCTTCAATGTGGAGTTTCCCTTCATAGCAGCAACCATCTCAGGCAGAAATTGGGCTGGGCGCTTCTCAAACAGACGGCAGAAGGAGAAGGTAATCTCTGTCAAGAGAAATTAGAATAAATTTGGATGGCTGCATTAGGCCTGGTGCTGCCCCTCCTGCCCCAGCTAACCTTAGCAAGATGCCCAGAAAAAGGTAGACATTTGTCCATGATCCCAAGCAAGGTTAGAACTAAATCAAAATTCAAAACAGGTTGGTTTACTGTAGGAAGGTTCTCTGCATGAACAGTTGTCCTTTCACTTCCTCCTCTTTCTGCTCTTCTATGCAAGGTTGGGGACTATAGTCAAGTCTAAGGGGCGCTTGTGACTGTACATCTGTCTCTCCCCACTGTCAATTCTGTCAGCCATTGATAGGCGGAGCTACGTTTGAGGGATGCACTGCGAAAGTAACAAGTTTAAGAGAAGAGATACTACGTTTGGGATCTTTTAAAAGGAAGAACATGCTGATTTTATAGCCATTTTATATTGTAGTCAAGGTCACAAAGTATAGTGACTTATGCAGTTGCTTGAGTGGTATAACCAAAACGAGGATCCGGGAACTACTCCAGGTTCTGGATAAAGAATTTACCTTGGAGAGTCAGATTCTGTAGCAAAAAGAGCACCTCGCCCTGACAGTCAGCCAGGTTCATGTCGTGGAAGCTCAGCCTCTTCAGGGCTAGGTTGTACTCTGGATGGGAGCAGAGGGGACAGGCCTTAGCTTTTCCAAAAACAATACAAGGTCCCCTCCTACCCTCCTCCCGTAACTACTCTGGTTGGGTCCTACCTTTGAGTGTCTGCAACACAAGCCCAAAGTCCTGCGGAGAGGCAAAGGTGGCACTATCCAGGGACAGCTGCTGCAGAGAACCTGAGGCCTTCAGTACAGAACAGAGCAGTGGGGCTGGCTGGGCTCCCCGTGGAAACCCCATCTCCAGCTGTTCCAGGCAGTTTTCTGGATATGGTAGAAGAGAAGATTCCAACTGGCCATTTCTACTTAATTCCCATAGTAGGTCTCAGCCTATACTTAAGGCAGGCACTAAAAAATAACATTCATCTACTTGCCCTTGGTTGCCTGTCATCTGCTAGGCACTGCACTAGGGTCAGGAAGATTTCTAAGATTTAGTCCTTGCCATTAAGGAGATTATGACAAGCAAATATGAATATGCAGAGTGGTGGGGGAGGGCTCATAGGTAGTAAAGGAACCTACAGCAGGTAGAGCTAATCTGTTCCAAAAGTCAGGGCCATGCTTAGAGATGGTCCAGATTGCATTTCTGAAGAATAATCTGCCTGATCCCTGCTGTATTTATGGTCCAGGCCCTGTTCCAACTGGTGCTCCAAAGAGGGCAGATTTCAAATAAGATATGATTGAGTGGTAGGCCTGCATTAGAGGTTTCCTACACCTGCATGTTTGTGTGGAGATATGTTTGTACATGCATGCAGTGCTTCACCTGGTATCTCCTCATCCCCAATTATGTGGTTAGGGGGCCCTGCATTCCCTGGCACAGCAGGGTTGTCTCTCTGGCTGGGGTGGTCGACACGAATTGAGAGGATCCTAAGCAGAGGCAGGGCTCGCACAATGGCACGTGTCAGCTCCAGAATGGGCAGTGGTGAGAATAGGTCACTGAGATGGAGGGCACGGAGGCGGCATCCAGACTGGCCTGAAAGGGCCCGCAGGCTGTCCAACAGGCGGAAAATGTTGGAGCCCAAGCCTATGACAGAAAAGAGAGCAGGTGAGTCATGGCAGTCTGAGCAGGGGCAGTTTTCAGAGAATTGCAGTTCTACCTGTTGACAACTGCCAAATCAATGAGTTTTGGATCAGATTATTTAAAATCATTTGTACTATTCATTGTCTTGCTTTTTCCTCAGGTACCCAGCAAACTGATGTCTACTGCACCACAACCTCAAACAACAGTCAGGGCAGTCACAAAACAAGATACAGGGTGTGTTGGGGCAACATGTTGCTCATGATTGAACGACGCAGAGATCTCTGTACTGTACTATAGGTTATGAGAAACTCCTGAAAACTAGGCTGAGGAATGACAGTAACCTCTTAGGGGCTATTTTGTCACTGGATGGGAATGGGGCACAAAGGGATAACTACAGAAGGATAGATTGCAAAAACGGTTAGGGTAGTTTCTTAAGGCCACAAAGCAAATAATCCCTTGTTTCCCCTTGGAGTGAGTTCCTGTTTGTTTATCCAGAAGAACCTTTCTCAGCACCTAGTAATTTTTTCTTTGCCAGACAGTAAGATACACTGGCCCTAGGTAATCCTGAAAACAAAAATGTGGGAGCTGGGATGGCAGAGTATTGTGGAAATACAAAGAATCGGTACATAACATCTAGTTTACATTAGTAAAGACTACCCAGCTGATTCTAAAAATCATTAAGGAGACAGACTAACAAGAAAGAATGACTATGGCAGAACTTGGCTATGTGTAAAGGCACAGAGGAGAAAGAGAAAGCGTGTTAGGGCCCCCAAACTGAAAAAGTTATTTGGCTAATAGACAAATGAGTTGTGGGAAGTATTAAAGATCCCTAGTGGTAAGAAATTTGGTAGAAAGCCAGTAAAATTTTTAAATGAATGACAGCCAGATCAGCACTTCTGAAAGAATGCTTGGGCTGTATACCCAGGATTGTGCAGTGAGTGGGTCAGGTAGAACCACTAAGATGGTGAATCCAGGTGAGAAATCTGGCAGCTAGATGAATCATAGATGTAAAGCTAGAGAAATGGAGTTGAGAGACTGACAAGTTAGCATCTAGAAATCAAACATGGGGTAAGAAAGGATCCAGGTCTCTCGGGGAGTTGAGTCACCTGTAAACAGGAGAGGATCTCTCTAGGGAGAGAGAAAACTTAGTTTGGACTAAATTTGGGAAACTTCTGATTTATGAAATAACATTTAGTAGCTATAGATGGGTCTGGAGTTTAAGAGAAAAACTTGGTAAGCTAATGTCATAGTACAGGAGGTCTTCAGCATAGTCTACCTTTGAAGTCAAGGGAATGGATAAAAATGTCCAGGAAACAAGAAGTGATACCAGAACGGGAGGACAGAAAAATTCGATTTTGAGTTAATGGGAACAAAACTTGTGACGGTAAGGTGTATGGTGACATGTACTCAATGCAGTAGAAGGGGTTTAAACATGAAAGGAATTGGCTGTCAGAAGTGGAGCTGGACTGGGGGACTGGGACCTAGGCCAGAGGTGTCGGGGGTTAGAGGAGTCACGAGAGTGGGGAGGAAACAAGCAGGTTGGCTGAAATAAACTGTTAAGGGTGGCAGTAGGAAAGGTCTGCTGTGCCCTATGTGGGTCAGCTCCTTGGCCCTGGTAGAGGTGATAACACAACCCTTCCAGCTAGGCCTCTGATTTCTGTGTTAAAATGTTGAGGGGGAGAGAAACTGGAGAGTAGGGAAGCAGCAGTAAGTGGATTCTGGAGCCAGGTTGCTTGGGTTGACTCCTACAATTCACCAACTTGACTAGGACTGTTGAAAGGATTCATTACATGATATAATGCTTAAAATATGTCAAACGTACTGTGTGAAGGTTAAGGTATGTGAGGAATAAGCTTTACTAACAAGAGAAGGTATGGATCCAGAGCACAGGTAAAGGAATTAGCCTGAAAGTCGGGTGGTGATCTTTCAGTGAGGGGGGTGCGGTGGGGAGTGAATGCTACTGTGAAGAACTTACAGATTGATTAATATGTAGAAGTACATGTGTGACAGCTTGTATCTTTGTGAAACAGGTGAGATCAGTCTGCTCAGGGGAGTTTTGGAAATGGTGGAGTAGGAGTGGGTGTTGATGTTACAAACAGGACTCATGAAGTTGATGAATATGAATGTACAGTAGCAGCAGTCTG